CGCTATCAGAATTAAAAATATGTACACATCTATATGCCCGTACAGCGTACGGGCAAATCGATTGTGACTGGCTTTCGGTAGCCCGTATGGTGTACAGGCGAACCAGAAATTTAGATAGATAAATTAGATTAAATTAGATATAAAACGAAGAAAGGTTTCGTTTGAACAAGAATTAATTTAATATTCCACATTTAATCAAATAATAAATATTAATTAGTTGTTGATATACGTAATTTTACAAAAAAAATCTCCCCAAATAATAAATATTTATTTATCACTTTAAATTATATCTTTCCCCATTGATTGAAAACTTAAGGCTCAAAGCGCTAAATCACATTAATTTCGCGAATAAATGAACTGAACATAATTGATAATGATAAAATTGCTATCGGTTGAGTTATCAAAATGCAGTCATTAACGCACGGTACGTGTTCATTGGAGTGTTATCATTTTTTTAAAAAAATGTTCTAGATGTTCAGAAAAAAAGAAAAACTTGCTTCAATAATCTTTATTTTGACGTTTTTCATGTATGAATTATTTTTTTCATTTTTATTTAATAAATGGGGAATCATTTGAAGAGTTTAAGAGCACATTAGTATAAGTCAAGTTCTTAAAAGAGTAACTTATGTATGTAATTGAAATTTCGCGGTAAAGTTAACTTAACCTTAAAGATAATTTAATCATAAATTCGAAATTTAATTAAGAAATGTTCAAAAGGCTTTATATATAAAGATATATTATATATCGTTGTCTCTTAATTTTTAGTTATTTAATATTTTTTTAAAAAAATTTCAGATGAGACTTATATACCTCTAAATATTTCATCTCTTCGCTTCATTACTTTTGCTTACATTATTCGGTTAAGTAGACTGAAAACTATTTTTGTTTGCTGTAGGATTTGCTTAATCACTAGGAAAATAATTCTAATTAATTATACACAATTTTTTCCCCACGTTTAATAGCGAAGTTTGATAAATTCGTTAGAAAAGGAAAAAAATTGATTGGGGTATACATATAATGTTTTTCCTGAAAGAAATTTCTTTTGATTTGATAAAATCAGAAAAATAGCGAAAAAAGGTATTGTTGTTGTATAATCAACTCCAAACGACACTTTCCTCAGTCTTGAAGCATAATTAAATGATGCATAAAAGAAACTGAAGCATGTAAAATATAAATACCGTATATTCTAGCGAAATACGAAAGTAGCGGCGTATATAACGCGTTCATACTTTCAAACTGCATTTTTTAATTTTTGGGTACATTCGCCGTATAATGCACACACCCCTCTTTTTACGAAGAAACCTGAAATATATGTGTGTAATGCTCTTATCTTTTGAAGTCTAGGTATAGTGTGTTAGTGGATTACAAAAGCATGGAATGAAATAAGACCTGACATAATTAAAAAGTCATTAAAATACGGTATATCTAACAATCTAGATGGAACGGAAGATGATTATTTATTAATGGATCAGAGCAACAGGGATGGTGAACATGAAACAGAATTCGATGATACCCCTGAAGATGTAAGGGAAAACGAATATGCGGAGCTTTTCATGTTATCCTGTAATGAAAGTTCATAAGATATGTCATTTCATTTAAATAAACAGCATTGCGATCTACGCATAACTTTTTAATTTTCTTATATTTATCTCTTTCTTTTATTCAATTCCTCTACTATTAGTTCACCCTTTCCCTATTTTTTTTAGTTACACTTATGGACAAAAAAATTATCGCACGAATAAAAATAATTGCTGGATCGTAACGAAACTTCGCATGAAGGTACATGTTTGGGAGATATGCCAATGATTAGAAATACCACGTGATTGTGCATTACGTATAGCCGGTAGAGGGCATTTAACGTCGTTCTTCGTGGAGTATAAAACAGGTAACTAAAGCTTGTTTGAGTGTGCTGAATCGTTTAAAAAGGAAGACATGCCATTACGCCGTTTTCGAAGACAATGTGAGCAGCTGTTACAGTTTGAGAGGGGGAGAATCATCGGCATGATGGAAGCTGGGTGGTCAACTAGGCGAGTAGATCGTCAATTAGGCCGCTCTGATTGAGTTCTGAGAAGGTGTTGGGATCAGTGTATCCGAGAGATTTCATTTACACGAAGACCAGGCTCAGAACGCCCTCGACAGACCAGTCGTTGAGAAAACCACCACATTGTAAGAAATGTACACGTACAGCCAACTGCTTCATCGGCCGCCATCCAGTCACATGTAGCACCTTCACTAGGGTCCCCTGTGACTTCTCGAACCATACGAAGGCGCAAGGCTGAAGGACATTTGTGATCGTGAAGCCCATTACGTGTGCAGCCCTTGACGCCCACCCATTGACGTCTCCGTTTGGAGTGGTGCCGCGCACGAGGAATCTGGACTGCAGCGAAATGGAACCAGGTCGTCTTTAGCGAAGAATCCAGATTCAATCTCAGCAGTGATGACAATGGTGTTCCCGTGTGGAGACCCAGGGGTGAACGCCTCAATCCTGCTTTTGCTTTACAGCGACACACCGCTCCCACTGCTGGGGTGATGGTATGGGGTGCCATTGCCTACAATACATGGTCATCCCTAGTATTGATCCGTGGCACCATGACAGCCCAGCGGTATGTCCATAACATCCTGCAACCACTTTTGTTGCCACTCATTTAATGGCTCCTAGGAGCCATTTTTCAACAAGACAATGCTCGGCCTCACACTTCAAGAGTGTCACAAAACTGTCTCAACACTGCTAAAACCCTTCCTTGGCCTGCCCGAGTCCCAGATTTGTCTCCAATCGAGCATATCTGGGATCATTTGGGACGGTGAGTTGGGCATCCAACGAGTTTGAACGAGCTAGAGGCAAGGTTACAGCAAATATGGAACGAAATGTCTCAAGACATCATACAGAACTTGTATGTCTCAATGCCCTATCGTATCGCATCGTACATTCGCTCTAGAGGGGGTTCAACAGGGTATTAAATCTTCCGTTCTTTTGCTTTTTTCTCTAAAGTAAAAAAAGGATCCTTTTTCTTTTCTTTTCTAATCATTTACTTTTATCAAAGTAGTCATTACGTATGTTTGTTCGTTTTATTTTCGTTCGAAGTTCATTCGTTTCATTTTGACGACTCCTTCTTGGTGCGTTAATTTTTTTGTCCATGAGTATATATATATATATATATACACTCAGGAACATTGAAAATAGCGACCCAAGAAGGAAGCTAAGTACAATCGCGAAACTTTGGAAATAAGTACAGCGTAATGTGATATGCAAATGATCCAAGTTTTGTGCCAATACGCATGCTCATACACGTGGAGGTGGCGCTGCAATCAGGAAGAGGGTGCTATATAAGCCAGCGCAAATTCGAAGATTCATAAACGTGACAATTACCCGCCGATTGTAGGAAGACTTTGGTAAGCGAAACATGCCAGGTAAACGTGCTAGAAGACATTTTTCACAGTTAAGAGAGTTTGAAAGAGGCCTGATCATCGGGATGAAAACTGCAGGCTGGTCGACGCGCCGTGTTGCTGGCCAGGTGGATCGTTCGGTGTGTGCCGTTAGAAATTGTTGGGAGCACTGGACACGAGAAGGTACCCACTCACAGAAAACCGGGTATGGAGTGACCAGGAAGACCACGAGGAGAGAGGATCGAAGGATCGTGCGGCAAGCACTTGTGGACCCCACAGGGACTCGTTCAACGATACGAGCAAACGTAGGCGTAGCAATTGCTCCACAAACAATTTCCAGACACCTTACAGATGCAAATCTTAAATCCAATCGCCCTTTCCGTGCACACCCTTTTACACCGGAACATCGGCAAGTGCGTCTACAGTGGTGCCAAGCCAGATCAATGTGGAATGTCACAGATTGGCAAAAGGTTGTGTTTAGTGATGAATTCCGGTTTGTTTTGGGGACAGATGATAACCGTGTACGGGTGTGGAGGCACCCTGGTGAGCGGTACAATTCCCCCCTCACTGTTCTACGTCTCACTGCCCGCACAGCTGGTGTAATGTTCTGGGGGCCATAGCCTATGATAGCCGGTCCACTTTAATTGTGATGCGTGGAACCTTAACGGGTCAACGTTATGTTGATGATATTCTTCAACCCCATGTAGGACCTTTCCTAAATGGTCACCCAGGGGCAATTTTCCAGCAAGATAATGTTCGTCCGCATACAGCAAGAGTTGCTCAAGTCTTGCTACGTCATTTTCAGACACTTCCATGGCCAGCCCACTCCCCCGATTTGTCCCCTTTAGAGCACGTGTGGGATCAGCTAAAACGGCAGATGCCATCGTGTCACTCTGTACATGATTTAGAGTTGGCTGTTCAAGATTTGTGGGCCCATCTGCCTCAGGACAACATAAGGTGTCTAATCAACTCAATGCCCGACCGTGTGGCGGCATGTATTGCAGCTGGAGGTGGTCCAACGCGCTATTGAAGTTTCCCAGTATTTGTGTTGTTGCACATCCTGTATTCCTTTAATTGTCTTGTTTTTGAGATCAAGTGAATCTCTCATCTGTGTCATTATGTGTATTAAATTTCATTTCAATCCGATGCTTTCTTCTTGGGTCGCTATTTTCAATGTTCCTGAGTGTATATATATGTCATAACTATATATGTATATATACGTCAGGCTTTGGGCCCAGTGTTTTAGGGGGCCCGAAGCTTGACTGCCCCCACCAAGTTCCTACCCTTTGTAAAATACAACTTGGGGGCCCAAAACCTGACTTTGCAGGGGGTCCAAATGTTCTTCGTTACGCTACTGTATATATATATATATATATATATATATATATATATATATATATATATATATATATATATATCTTGTTCATCGTTAATAAAATACTTTCTATTCATCCATTCGAGTTCAAATACATTTTTTTAAACTTGAAGTAGATGACACTTGATGTTAATACAGTGTTTTCAAATATTAATTTATTAATTAAATTAAAAATGAATAGATAGCAACAAAAAATAATAATAATCCAACAGCATATATAGAAAGGGAAATCGTTCGTTGTGTTCCTGTAGCGCCATGGAAAGCGCGTTGGATTTCTAATCCTAAAGGCCGTGGGTTCGAATGCCACCTGGGATCGCCTATCTTCTGAGAATGTGATTTCGTTTTTACTAAACTATTTTATTAGAATAATTAAATTTATTAATGAATGAATAGTAACAAACAAGAAAAAATAGTCCAACCGTATAGAGAAAGGAAAATGGAAAAATTGCGAGGAAAATCGCTTTCTATTTTGTCACTTAATATTGTAATTCTGTCCTATGTATATACATATTTATACTATTTGTAACTATTTAATAAAAAGTAACAAAAATAAAAATTCTTCTTTGCTGATCTAAGTATATATATATATATATATAGGAATTGACTTAAATTTTTTTTTTTATATTACTTATTTTTAAAACTATCATTTTCGTACCCTTCGTATAACACTCACCAGTAAATTGCGATCTTATTTTTTGTGTTAAAAGGGCGCGTTACACACGCCTTCTTATACTGTACATTCTAATAAGTTAAATATTAAGAATGAAGTCTTCAAAGAAAAATAATCAATAATTTGAAAACGAAGAATAAACACCTTTTTTTTGTAAATTTTAATAAAATTTAAATGATTTTCAATATTTTGCTTAAAACTTCTTCATCTGAATCTTATTAAGGTATCCGACTACGTTCGGAAACGTGATTTTAAAAAAGTGCATAAATTGATAATTTTCATGATATTTAGTGTCACTTAGGTTAGAAGTATTGTTTGCATAAAATTGTGTTTTGTATAAAAATGTTTTAAGGACATTTTAACAAAAAAATTTTATTTAAATACAATATTTTGGCAAAAAATTAACTTAGAATAACCTTTTTTCAAAATGTTCTCCTTTTGTGAAAATTGTTTCTATTACAATAATATTTTGCCTGTATATAGCCTAGACATCTGTACAGAGGCTCAACTATGATTTTTGAAAAATTAACATTATTTTCACAGTTACAACCAATTGAAGTAATTATTTGCACTTTTTTCATAAAATTTCTCCCCTGTGTTGTTGAAATCATGGATAAACCCACTTCTAAGTTATATATTTCAAATATTCTAGTTGAGCCTCTGTACAGAGATCTGAGCTATATACAGGTAAAATATTATAATAATAGAAGCATTATTCGCAAAAGGAGAATATTTTTAAAATTGGTCATTCTATGTTCATTTTTTGTCAAAATATTGTACTTAGATAATTTTTTATTGTAATACAATTCTTAAAACAATTTCATATACATTTTCTAATCTAAGTGACACTAAATCTCATAAATATTATCCATTTACACGCTTTTGCAAAATCGCGGTTCCGAACGTAGTCGGATACCATAAAGTAGCAATATTAAAATAAAATAAAAATCATTAGTATGAATGGTATTGTTTCAGGATACATTGAACAAACTGAATCGGGGGAGCACTGAAATCTCTCTGTAAAATACATTCTCTAAGATTATTTGTCTTGTCTTCTATAGAGCTATTTCTTCCTTCAGATTGTACTTGCTGACAAATAATGCAACATAGCCTACTAAACAAGTAATGCCATTAAAAGACGATCAATCATTGTTGTCAGATATACAGGTCGTCTTGCTGACATAACAGATGACATACATTGCGAGATTTCTGAGGTCTAAGTTAATAGATAAAATAAATAAAGAGCACATGTAATATATTTATGCTAGAATATCTTTAATCTTCAGATTTAACAATTAGTTGGTGTTTTTAAATTATTATCTACTCGTCAAAAACCCAGAGAATCATTTATTACGGGATTTCTAGCAGTAAAATTTTCAAAAAATCATCAGTATCATTAAAAAAAGTGGGATTTTTTTCTATCGTGTTGTACTGGGTGACCATACGTTAATATTTCAAGAAATTACACACATCATATGTTTGGGATAAAGTCAAAAGCTTTGTATTTATTTTTATGTTATTTTTTTTAATTTTAAAAGTTTATTTCTTAGTTTTTGATCCAATTTTGATGCAGAAACAACTTTTAAGACATTATTCAGAAACTTAACTCGTTAACAGTCTTCAAGGAATTGTAATTACGAATGTTTTTTGTGATGGAAAGTACATAAAGTAATTCAAAAACTTTCATAAGATTAAATTATTATTTAAATATTTTCATCACGTTTTCTGACACTTTCCCCAAACTTTGACACGACGGAGATTCTTGCAGTTGAAATCCGTAAGAAAATATGTTTCTCAGAAGAAAGCTCGCTGGTATCTTATTTATATTCATGTATTCTTGTTTGTATTCTAAGGTTCAAATTCTTTCTTGGTGTCGGATTTCATTAAGATATGGTGGCATGAATTTCTAACTTTATTTTCGTTTTATGTTCTTATTACAATACATGAAATTTAAAACATTTGTTATATGCCTGGATTTTTTTAAATTTCAGATTTTTCAATGAAGTGCAGTGGTATTAATTTTCCATTTCTATACTTACCGCCTTTTTCTTTTTAAAATGTAAAATTTAAAGAATTTGTTTTATATTCACCTTTTTCCGAATCCCTTTTCAAAATACTTTTTTATAGGGGCTGATAAAACATCTTTAACATTTCCCCCAGTTCTTAAAAAGCAAATTGTGAGAACTTTCAAGTAGTCTTAACCAAATTTCTGGTGAAAAAAAAATCCTTTTAAAAGGCATTCTCCCTTAGAAAATCTAGTTATAAATGTATGAAATCTCATTAACGTTTTGAAAACTTTAAATTGACATTCCCGATCCTCAAGTTGTGAATTTTGAGAAAATTTAAGTGTATACATGCACGCTAAAAATAATTCTCAAACAAGATTTTGAAGTTTTTATTATTCAGAACTTAAGGTATCCGACTACGTTCCGAACCGTGATTTTGAAAAGCTCAGTTCAGGTGTCGTCCTTGTCACTTGACCATGGTTCAAAATGACGAAGTCCGTCTCCAAAAGCCCTCGTGCAGCTGACCAGTGTGACGTTAATTTCACTCACCAATTCATTAAAACTGAAAATTTTACTTATATATAATGACTTTATTTTGCAACACTTTAAAATTTTATTATAATGTAATAAAAGAATACTAAAGCACACAAACTTTTTATCGTTATATATTTATACTTCCAACTAGATTGCGAATGTTCTATTGTTTACTATTTCGGGTTTCATGAGATAATTTTACACTCGTTAGTTAGCACAATGTCTTGCAAAATAAATAGTTTTCCAATGGAAAATGCCCCTTTTTTGCATTTGTGGTAAAAAAACATCTAAACTGAAGGAGATGAGACAATTTATCAATATATCAACAGACTCGATGTTAAAATGTAAATTTAAGCAAGAACAGCTCCTAAATTTTATGTTGCAAATTCATGCAAAATACACAGTATTTCTCAAACAGCTATAAACATTTTAATGCCATTCAGAACATTGTGTTTAAAGGAAATATATTTTTCAATGTTTGTGGTAACACAAAAAGGTATAGAAACAAATGCAATTCGGAATATGTAATGTGATTGCATTTAATCTCAAAACTACAAAAAGACCATGAAAAAAAGCGGGCACTTATCCTAGTTTCTAAATATAATGCATGGGTACGTTACACTTAGATCACAAATTAATATTATTAATGAGTAAATAATAGTAAATCCGATTAGAGTTTTTTCTAATAACACATGCAATATTTTTTGATTGCTTTTACATAAAGTACCTTTAACATGGTGATCTACTTTAAATATTACTTTGAGATATATTCTTTTAAGTATGTATGTGCAATGGGGTTCCACATAAACATATTCTAGTTCCAGAGATTCCATGAAAACACCTTCAAATTCTAGGGGTTCCGTGAGTTGAAAAAGTTTGAAATCCGCTGAATTATATTGTAATGGATGGGCTGTCCCATCCATTCGTGTACAAGAGTTAGAAGAATGATTAGCCATAGTCAAACAAACACAATTTATTAACAAATCTCTCTCAACAACCTAACAAATTTCAATACCCCAGGTTAGGAAATGCACCATTAGATAAACATGTGAGCAAACGTGAGGAAGATGAGATAATTGAAGTTTTAATTATAAATCGGATCACTTATTCTTAGCACGTCCTGGCAATACACCTTCTAAATATTTGAAGATAAGTTCCAAGTTAATTTAATTCAAGCCAATACTAATCCACTTTAAATATCAAATTGACCAAATCGTCAATCTTAAACATAAAGCAAATAATCTACGAATCACTCTCGATTAGCTTTACGTTAATCACTAACTGCTATCCTATAGCTTCTAACCTCTCTTTCCTTCGACTCTAAAAATGTTTGAATATAAGCCTTGAATTGCATAATTCGTGTCTTCTTCTTCGGGCGAAATTTTTCAATAGAATAATATTTAAAGCAACAAGAGGATTAGTAGGAGGAGCACGAATAAGCCGTTACAAGATTATTAGATTTTTAATACCTATAATATTCTTGTGCTGACTTCAGCACTAATATATAAAAAAAAGAATCAATTTTGCATCTCAGGAACATATATAAATAATGTATTCGGAATTCCAAACAGAAATAAATACGATGTATGTGTGAATGTTTCTAAGCTATAATAATTATTTCATTCAAGTTAATTAATGTAAGAAGTAAACGTGTAACAGGCAATCTCGTGAGTTTTCCCACTAGAGATAACCTGAGGTTTTTTTTGATGTTATCACTTTTAACCGCCACCTTCTTACACAAGAAACTTGATATGTAAATAAGATTAAGTATATAAGACGAACTGAAGTGGAGAGTTAAGTAATAGTAAATATAGTGGAGAGGCTGTAACAGTTAACTCAGTAATAGTTCGCAGCTTATTTTAACCAATTTGCAGTGTTCCTTTAGAAGTAGAAGATCTCTGGTGGTTTATTAAGTTAAAGATTTGGAGTGTCTGCATTCGTGGATGTATTTTGATCCAATTAACTTGCATCCCTGATAGTTTCGGGCAGATAAGTACTTTCTAGTTTATATAGCTTTGCTATGTGTAGAAGTCTTCAAACCATAAATTAAGTTATTCGATTAATCAGTGAGATTAATAAATTTAGATTTGTTTCTTCTTGTGATT